CACACACACACACACACACACACACACACAGACACACTGTTTCTCACTAATTATGGCCTAAAGTTAAATTGCGGCGGTGACGTGTTCGACCACAGTCAGGAAACACTCATATTAGAACTGTCAAAATAAAAGCCCAGCAGAGAGATGTGAGATTAAAGGAAACTTAATTTTCAAAAACACAAAACAACAAACAAACAAAACTATAAATATAAATTCATTCACAAAGTAATTGATCAAAATTCTCATCATCACTCGAGTTAAATTCAGTGACGTATTAATCATTCATTCATAAACTGTGAACACACTTGTTTTGTCCTTTATTTGTCTTTTGACATTTTAAATCTGAATCATTACAGATGATGATATGATCCAGACCTCCTATTCCCAGTCCCTGTGTGTGTGTGTGTGTGTGTGTGTGTGTGTGTGTGTGTGTGTGTGTGTGTGTGTGTGTGTGTCTCCCGCCTCTTCCCTCCAGGCACCTCCTCCTCCTCCTCCTCCTCCAAACATGGCGCCGGGCCGCAGCGGTGCGTCCTCCCCGACAGAAGACGCAGTGAGGGCCGCAGAGAGGAGACGAAGACGCGGGTAGAAATTCTTCCTCTTCCTGATTTCAACCTCTTTTAAAAACAGACTCGACCTCGCGCTCCGCGGCGCGTCCAGAGGAAGCTTTACGCGCGGCTCCTGGACACGGTTACGCGTCAGGCTGTGCGCGTAACGGGAGCAGAGCCCACCTGTCTGACGAAGGTAGACTTCGCTCCGTCTCTTGGAGGATGTGAATGTCCCTGATTTACGCGGAGCAGCGGAGCAGACTGAGCGGACAGACTCAGGCAGGGAGCCGGAGAAAACATGCGCAGCCCCGGGAGGAGCGCAGACACCGCGGCCGCAGAGGAGTGAGAGCTTCCAGCAGGAGAAAACAACTTTTTCCACTCGACAGGATGGATGGAGAGAACTCTGCGCTGTCAGGAGGAGTGGAGAGGGAGAGAGAGAGGCTCCCACCGATCTACACCAGCTCCGCTCCAGCTGTAAGACCTCCACTCTTTCTCCTCATGTCATTCCTCTAACACACGGTTCACACGCACCACTCTGTTTGTTAACATGATCCACGTGAGTCTGAATACTGGCACAGAAAGAAAGTTCAAGTTAAAGAGAAACAACCTGAGGCTCAACTCAAAATGATGTCACCGTTTACCATAGAGGCTCCGTGTCTATACAGATGCTACAGATGCTACAGATGTGTTTATACAGATGCTACAGATGTGTTTATACAGATGCTACAGATGTGTTTATACAGATGCTACAGATGTGTTTACAGATGTGTTTATAGAGATCTTCATTGTTGATGACACTCAAAGCTCTTTTCAGTTTTTGCATTTCACTCCTTCACACAGTGCATCTGTGTGCAGCTCGTTCTCTATGATCATTAAAAAAACTGAACTTGTGAGAACAGTCATTTTAGCTTCAGCAGTAAATTTACATCATGTGATGCCAGTTTATTATTTTACTATTTTATTATCGTTTGTCTCAAAGATTCAAGTTAAATGTTTCTGCATCTGAAGTCAAACTCAGATTCGTTTTTCAGTTTTGCTTTAGTGCAGAATTAACCACAAAAGAACATTATACAACACTAAATCTACTCCACTGTATAAAGTATATATATATATATATATATATATATATATATATATATATATATATACTTTATATATGTATAGTTCAGTGTATGTTCAGTGGATCTTCATCTTCAATCTTCCTGCTCATTATTTAAACGTCTGGTTTCACGGGGACCAACAGAAGCTGTCGTACGTCACAGTGACAGGAGATTTAAAGTTCTGTGTCTGTTTGGAAAAAGCGAAGAGTCTTCCGTGATGACTCCTGACTGCAGCTCTGTCTGATGTAATCAGAGTGTTTGAGAGCCGGAGCTCAGGGTCGGGACGTGTTTCTGGTTCTGTGTCACTTCAGAGCGTTGAGGTCTCAGGCTGGTTGATGTCATCTCCGTTGTGTCAGGGAGCAGGAATGTGCAGATCTGATGCTTTTGACCAATAAACAGTCTGTCGTTGCTCAGACGGACCCTGGTTGAGTCTGGAAATGTCATAAAGTGGCTGCAGGCGTGCTCTTGCTGTGAAGAGGCTCCTGGTCCTCGAGCTCCCAGAGATCTGAGCGAATCAGGCTCAGACATGGAGGAAGGTTTAAGACGAGGTCGTCAGCGTGGTTTTCCTGGATTCACTCTCATGAACGTCTCCAGGTTGTGATGCGTCTGAGACATTTGGTCCAAACGACCTGAGCTGTGGTGCGACTCCGTCGTCACAGTGTTTTAGCTGCACAAACACAACATGAGCAGATCCCTTCTTCCTCACGGTGTCAGAGGAGATCAGGCTCACAGGTGACTCTTCTGTCTCTGCTGGTGACTGAAGTCTTTTTAAAATCCTGCTCAGTTTCTGCTCTTTGTCGACGCAGTGTCTGAACTCTGGAGTCCGTGTCTGTGTGTGTGAATCAGATCTGAGGAAACATAAAGAACTTACATGAACTAATGTCAAGAAGAATTGAGTTCTCAGGCTGAAACGTTCAGTGCTGCTTTGACTTCAGTATTAATCTTTCACCAGATTCTCTGTGTTTTTCTCTCATCACACTTTCACACTCACTCACTTTGGCCTGAATCTGTCACGACTGTTTTCCAGACTTGACACAAACGACGGACTCGCTCTGTGAGCCCCCCCGACTCAAACCCAAGTCAAGTCTGGCACCGCGGAGCGTGGGCTCACATGTGGGCCTCTGGTGCCAGACCTCAGCTGAATGTGCAGACGCTGAGCCGCACTCAGACTGACGTGATGAGGCCTAATGACTGCGGCTCTCACACAAACTACAGAGTTCTGTTCTCACAGCGTGCTCGTCTCGCTTGTCTGTGTGTGTGTGTCTGTGTGTGTGTGTATGTGTGTGTGTCTGTGTGTGTGTCTGTGTGTGTGTCTGTGTGTGTGTCTGTGTGTGTGTCTGTGTGTGTGTGATGTCATTGTTCAGGTTTTTTCTCCGCCTCTTATTTCTATGGAAACTGAATCATTTTGAACTTCAGATCAAAAGTCTTCCTGCTACTTCAGTTCTTCAGCACTCGAACACACCAGTGTGTGTGTGTGTGTGTGTGTGTGTGTGTGTGTGTGTTGCTGTCGGGAGCGGCTGCTCTGCATCTGTTGTTCTCTCCTCTTCATCTTTTCTTCTTACACTTCCTGTCGTCTGTCTCATATCTTCATCTTCTTTTCTTTTCTATCGTCTCTGTTTTATCCCTCTCTTATTCCTCCTCTCACTTTGTTATTAATCCTTTCTCTCTTTTCCTCCTCCTCTCTTCCCCTCCCCCCTCTCCTCTCATCCTTCCCTCTCTCTAGTTTCTGTTTTCTCCTCCCTCCTCCTCTTGAATCCTTCCTTCCTCTCGTCTCTGTCCTCGTGGACGTTCATCAGTAAACGTTGTGTTCAGGTGTCGTCCGGACGGATTCTGGATGAATGACGTTCAGTGACGTGCTTCGTTCTTCACATCCGCTCTGGTGACACTGAGCTTCCTGTTTGTGTTTTGTTGCTAATACATTTCATAGTGTTGTGTATTCTCAGCTGCTGTAGCTGAAGTTGTATTTGACTTTTAAATCAAGCTTTTGTTGTTGGAGATGCTGAGTTAAAGGGTTGAAGGTTTTAACGAGGTTTCTACTTTCACTCTGCTTGTGCTCTAACTGTGAGCTTGCACTCAGACAGATTCTCTGTGCTCCAGGTTCAGCTCTTGTCTTCGCGCTGCTGAAACGTCTGCGCTCAGATTCATACCTCTTCATTGTGTCACGTGTCGGATGCTAACTGTAGATCTGCTGACTGACACTGAGAGTAATTAATAACCAAACCCTCCAGCTCTGTGATGATGTCATCTTCCTGTGCCAGGGTTTGGGGCGAGGAGTCAAGCAGCCGTTCCCGTCTCTCGGAACCTTCATCTCCACGCTGAGCCAGAGGAGGGACGTAGGGGGGCGGGGCTTGACTGGCGGCATGACGGGCACCCTGAGCGGCACCCTGAGCGGCACCCTGGGGCTCCGACACGGTGAGTCAGTCATTGATGACCTCACTTAACTACGGTTTGAGAATCTGCATCAGGAAACATGACGAGTTAAGAAAAAGACGAATGTCGGCAGACTTCATCCTCCACAGTTACTCAGAGCACGAGTCGATTCCTTGTCTTTATCATGACAATCATTTATTTTACTTTATTATAATAATCTTAATAACCTTTGCACTTTTACGGAGACATGGAGACAATAAAGTATATTTGATTTGAACAATACTTAATTCAGCTTTATTATAACAAAACCATTGTGACACATAAACTGTCAGATATTTTCAAACACTTTATTTTCCTTTCTATGACTAAAGGTTCATCGTTCCTCTGCAGGATCTCAACATATTGAGCAGCTCAGAAGTGTTTCAATATGTTAAATAGAGTTCTCTGGCTTTGTTCTCAGAGACGGCGTGTTCCCGTCTCGGATGTAATGATGTGTTACTTCCTGTGTTTACTGTTCGCTTGATGCATGTGTTCATTCTCTGTTTACGTTGAGCTGAAACACTCGTGTCTCCAGTGTTCGAGGTTTTCAGGAAAGAAAGGAGAAGCTGTTCCACTTTTCCACTTGGTGACTGAGCGTTTAAAAAAATCCCTCTAATTGGACATTTGCAGACATTTTTATGGAATGATTCATGTTTCACAGTTTCTGCCTCTTCACTGAAATATTCTTCCTTTTCTACCTTCAGTAGATTTGACCTTTCAAATCAATATAACAATAATATGAACACTTCATCTAGTTTTTGACGGCAGAGATATAGTTTGTGTTTTATTGTTAAAGGGCTACTTCCTGTTAATGGTGAGGTTATTTCTGTCCTCTGTGAGAACGCAGACTCACCAGCCGGCTTTGTCACCACGGCTACCGATGCCAGAATAATTATGCAAACCTCCGCCCCAAATGAAAACCATATGAAAGTAAAAGCGCACACACACACACCCACACACACACTCACACACACACACACACACACACACACACACACACACACACAGATAGTGCAGCTTTCCTCAGTTGCTGGATAATCACCACAGTTTTTCTATTTCACCTGTGAAGTATTACCGGAGGTTCATATTTCCTTCTGCACGTCGTCACTTTTGGTTCTGAGTTAATTTCAGATTTCACTGTTACACCAACAAGCTCAGTTGTTGACACTCCCCCTTCTTCTCCTCCCTTCATTCTGCTCGTACACGTTCACCCTCTTCAGTCTGCTTGTGGACTGTTCAGGATCAACTGCAGGAAGTAACGAGCGGAGCCACACGACTCGTCCTCTGAGCTCTGCACTGAACTTTGATGAAGGGAGAGAAGATGGAGGATGTTGAAGATGACTCATGATAAAAGGCTGTCATGGCGACAGGGGTCTGTTGCCGGCAGGATTAAATTGGGTGATGCACAGGCTGACAAAGCCGGCGTAATGAATCTGGAGCAGAGATGGAAAGTTGAGTCATCAGCTTCGATCAGCTGTTCTTCTCTGTGACGCCGTCTATTTTCAATCAAGCTTCAATCAGCAGATAATGAATGTCCTGACGAGGCTGAACGGAAACAATCTGGATATTCAGGGGTTCCCTCCAGCTGTGCACTTCACACTTTTCACTTTACACACGAGATTCAAAAGTTTGTTCCTCTCATCAGAGGTTTAAAAATAAAAATGACCACATGTCACCTAAAGTTCAAGAGTCATATGATCAGCAGACTTAAAGAATAAAACAAATACAACTGAAAGTACAGATGCATTAATACGATTAAAGTAAATATAAATAAAGTAAATGACACAACAGGCTGGATGTGAACCTTTGACCTCGATGTCTAAATCTACGGCTGCTCTGCTGTAACCTTTGGATTCGATCACGTTCATTTGTCCGTCTGTCCACCTCTGAATTTGTGAAGCTTTTATCTGCTGCTTGTTCAATCTGTCCACACCTCCAGAGTGAGCACCCACAATGCACCTGGACAGGCCTGCTCGAGACAATAGTTACTGTGGAGACAGAGACGGCAGGAGGCTGATTAAAAACAAAATGGATAGATGGTGAAGAGGAGAGGGAGGATGGGTGAACATGTGTGTGTCTGCAGCCTGTGATTACACACTGATGTGTGTGTGTGTGTGTGTGTCTTCACCTCCTCCTTCATATAAGCTGTGTTTTGTTACTGGCATCAGTTCAATTGATCATTATAAGAAAATGAACTGAAGATTCCAGTCAACAGAACAAATAACATTTCAAAAGTCATCTCATGGAGTGTTGTGATTTTGACTCTCAACATTTTCCAGATAATAACCTGAACATGTTTTTAGGATCACAATAGAAAGAAGAAATAATCTATGTCAATGAGAACAATTCAGAATGTGAAGATTTATAACATGTATTTAATGGAACTGACTGACATGGAGGTGAGACGGTTAACGAGTGTTTCTCTGTCTCTCGCAGGGAGAGAGCTTCCTCCGATCTGCAGCGACGTTCGTCAGAAGCAGCGTTTCTCCATCGACACTCTGCCTCCAGAGGTCAAAGCTCCGTTCCCCTCCGACCCCGTCATCCCGCTGAGAACCAAGACCAGCAGAGAGTTTCAGTGAGTCCCACGACCCCGAGACATCACGGAACACAACTCACTCTTCTGCCCCGAAGAAAAAAACACAAACACTGTTGTCTGAGTGAGGCCTGTGTGTGTGTGTGTGTGTGTGTGTGTGTGTGTGTGTGTGTGTGTGTGTGTGTGTGTGTTGCCAGGGGGGACATGGAGCGAGCCGTCCAATCAGGGGACTGGAGGGACGTCCGAGAGTTTTACCTGACAACCTTCAAGTCCTTCATAGAAATCAACGCTGCCTTCAAGGTAGAACACAGACACACACACACACATAAACACACACACACACACACATAAACACACACAAACACACACACACACAGACACACACACACACACCATCCTAATTGTCTTTCCTTGTTTCCCAGCGAGAGGCGAACGGATCGTTCAACACGATAGACGACTCAGGAGTCAACGCCAAGTTTGTCAACGCTGTTTACGACGCACTGCTCAGCACAGTAAGTACAGACACACACACACACATGAACACTCTCTGTCCAAACTAACACAGGTCACATGACTGCTCACCTGCACTGGTCATGTGATGTAAACAGGAAGTAGAGTGTCTCCTCTGCAGTTGGTTGCTTAGCAACAGAACCTCCTCTGAAGGAGCAGTGATGGTGAAGAGTCAGAGCAGAGACGAGGTGGAGCTGTTCCTGACGAAAATATAAAACTGACAATGATAGTGTGTGTGTGTGTGTGTGTGTGTGTGTGTGTGTGTGTGTGTGTGTGTGTGTGTGTGTGTAGCCACAGGACATCCAGAAGTCCGTGTTGAAGGGGATCATCAACAGTCTGCTGAGAGAGTGGAAGGGGTGAGAACACGTCTGTTGCACATATTTAGTTTGAGCCTTTTTCTACATTTCATTTTTTCCTGTTTATTTATTTTTCAGTTGAAGTGATTTAAATTTAATCTGAGAATAAGATGAATTAATGTCAGTTCTGTGTCTGTCTGTCTGTCTGTCTGTCTGTCTGTCTGTCCTGGATCAGAGCCTGACTCTTGTGTGTTTTGTTTCAGGCCTCGCAGCAAAGACGACCTTCGAGCTTATTTCATCCTGGTTCAGGTGAGAGAACTTTGAATCCTGTGGATGAGACGTAGAACGTGAACGACCTGGTGTCGCTGATTCTAGAACCAGTTCTGCACGTAAAATATCAAGTAGACGTTAAAGAAATGTTTGTAAAGATAAAATGTCATTTCAGGTTCTCACCTCTGATGTGAGTTCATGACTCATAACATCCTTCTCTCTCTCTCTCTCTCATTTTTCTCCCCACTCTGCTTCCATATATGGTTTTAAGAATCAGGATCCGATAAAGACTCAACAGTCGTTCCACTGTGACTCCTTCAACACACACACACACACACACACACAC